CATTTGGAGAGCCAAGAGGCCAACAGGAAGAAAAAGTATGGTGGGGACTTTCAAAAGTCCAGGGGCAGAATAGGTTTTAGTATCTGAGGAGTGAGGAGGAAGAAGCAGGCGATAAAATGAGAAGGTGAGGAGCATGAGGGAGCAATAGGACAGAAGGAAAGAAGACAAGTTGTGCCACCTCTCTGCTGTGCCCAAGTCCCTAAGTATTCCATGTGGTGCTGGAAGTTACTCCCTGAAGTCAGGCACTCAGAAAACCCAGGCTGCAAAATGGACCACATGTCCCAATTTGAGGTTCTGGGGAGAAGTTGCTGCTACAAGAATCAAGACAGACAAAGTAGTTTGGAAAGTTGCAAGTTTGACCTGGGCTCTCTTTGAGCCCACCACACCCAGTCCTGTTGGTTCCATCTGACTTTTCCAGCTCCCTTTGTGTGGCCTCATCCTTGTCCCAACCCTTCCGCAGTGTGGCAAGGAGAATTCAGTGCGTGGTTCCCAGGAGCAACTAACGGTGTGTTGCACATCACAGTAAGTTGATACATGTTTTGGATCATATTGGTTAGTTGATTCAGAGTGTTTTCTACTGCAACTATATTCGTTTGCCACTGTCCCAAAGAGGAAGTGATAGACAGGGCCAAAGGTCCCAGAGGGGAAGATTGGCAGATATAGTAGAACAGAATTGGGAGACTGAGGAGGGGCTTCATTAAAAAACAAACCAAGAAACTCACTCTGCCTCCTTAATCTCTGGTAATAATTTACCTTAAGATATAAAATAAAATCTTGTGGTGGTGAACCTATCTTTGTGCTTAACAGTTGTTTTAATAAATGTAACAAACTTCAGCATTGCTCTGGGCCACTATCAGGTCCCATTAGTTCATGTATGGCAAGAATTCGAGGAACCTTATTCCTTCAGACATTAAAAGAGAATATGTAGGAAGGGATGGTAGTGATCATTGGAAAGCCTCTCCAAAGAACACTTCTGGATATTTGCTGAGGGAAATTAAGGCTCTGCCATGGAAAACTTCCTCGGTTGTCGGTACCTAGTGAAGGCCTAGTGTGTTGGAATGTTTGCCTTCTCGGCTACTCTGCATAAGTTGCAACTTACAGAAGTTTGCAACTGCACAAAACTCTGCAACTTACCAAATGGTCCTGTCAGCTACGAAATAATTGGCAATATCAATAATCCCAATAGTCCTGTCTTGGGAGTGCTTAGCCACCTTGGCCAATGCAAAGGTCTGAGAAGTCAGCCTTTATGGAAAAGACCTGAAGCAGCTGCCTGGTGGGTCTTCCACTCTTCTTTTTGCTACTGTTAGTGGGTTGGTTCCTCTCCTCTGGACCTGTAGTCAGCATCACCTGGGAACTTGTTAGAAATGCAATTTCTCAGGCCCCTCCCCAGAATCAGGACCATTGGAGTAATTCACAAGACCTCCAGGTGGTTCTGATGAACACCTGCTCTACCTTGTGAATTAAGTACTTGAGCTTGGGGCCCTTGTTGAATGGTGGAATGGTCGTTCTTCTTTTACATAGCTCTTTTAAAGTATCCGGTATTCTGAAATTGGGAGCCAAGTGTAGCAAAGATCTTTCATCTTGGAAGGAAAGCTTCCTCAAAATGTAATTGCTAGAAGGAAATTGATGACTAAGTTGTAGGGAATGGAAAAACAAATCTAATACTTGGATTATGACTTTAGCCTGGAGCTTCATCTTTCTTGTCTGGATTTACTCTCCAATAAAACTAATTAGCAATTTAATTATGCAAATTTTGGAAGATTTCTGAGTTGGATTTAATCCTAACACAAAAGTAGCGGTACATAAGGAGATTTTTCTTAGTAAATTTGGAAACCACTGATTTACAGTAGTGTAGTAGTCAAAATCCCCTCGAGCCAGATGGGCATTAAATATGCTGGCTTCATGTTTGTGTAACTAGAGCTTTGTAGGGTTTATTGATTCAATACTTAACCAACCAATGACCAAATTCAAAATAATCCCTTCCAACTCTCTCCCATAATTTACCACTAAACCATCACATAGGTATGTTTTGTAAGAGGAAAAGACTTAGGAGTTAGATGGAAGCAATCTTGAAATAGTCAAAGTATTTGTTAGATGGAAGAATATGGAATTATTTCATTGGTTTAGAAGAACAGAGCATGACTAAACATCTAAAACAGAGAGGAAGGCAAATTTTTGTTCAGTAAATGGGAGAATTTTCTGACCTTAAATGTCACCCAAAACTAAACAGATGGCCTAGTAAGATATGTGTTACCTAGACAGGGATGCTATTCCTTGATGCTATCTATAGAGAAGTTTTAGTCATTAAAGTTTGATACAGGCAACTTTGAGATCCCCTTCAAACTCAGAGATTCTATAAGGTATTTTCCAGCATGTCTCCTTCACTTCGGCCCTATGAAGTGGAGGTTGCTAACCTCTTTTCTCATATATGATCTGTTCCATGAAGTGGTGTTCAAATGAGAAAAAGCAGATGGCCTGTGTGCCAGACCGTTGCTTTTTGCTGATTTTGCAAAACCATTTATGATCATTTACATGTTTCCTTCGGTGTGTGTTTCAAGGTATAAGCTGTATGAAGAAAATCCTGAAATGCAGGACAAAAAAATGTATCAAATCTGATGCTTTGTATTTTTATACATCATTGAAACTAAATACAATCAGGAAATAGAAAAAAAAAAAATCAGAGAAAACAAACAAAACATCCAGAGATCTACCTAGACTGAAGGTTTTGGTAAACTTTGGGGGTCTTTGTAAACTTCTTGGGTGACCAGACTTAGTAGCTATAACAATTCACTTCTAATGATGATAACTAATATTTTGAAATTGCCAAATGTTGTTACGTGACACATTTTCATAAGGTTTTCACCATTGTGAGCCAGGGAATGATATACTTGAGATTCATAATTTTATAAAAGAATTTTCTAAATAACCCAAGCTCCTCACTCATTATAGCTATAAAATAGTTGCTGTGCTTTGCTAATTAGTCCATCAGTGAAAACTGTTTTAGTTCCCCCATTTATATGCAAATTTTATATATAAAACTCCAATCCGGTTAACAAGGGAGCATTCTTTATTTTTGTTTTCCCTTAATTAATAAGTAAACATCATTTATCTTTCTATGTATGATGTTTTAGTAAGCTTACAAATACCATTGAAGATTGCTTTCCTTTTTGAAGACTCAGATCTTCAAAATCAGCTCAATCCTGTTGCATTATAATCTCTAATATCACATCAGGTTTTAATAAGCCTCCTTTTTGCAACACACATGTGCTTAAGTCTTCATGGAAACCAAATCAGTAGAGAGAAGGGATTACTTTAGATGACTTTAAAATATGCATTGTTTGAAATGGCCTCTGGTGACCAGCTTTCATGAATGGCTGATTTTACTTGTGGGGCACATCATCTGGTTTAATTATATCAGCTCCTTTGTGTGGCAAGTGCTGTTCTTAGTGTGTGTGCTGAGCAAAAGAGGTTTAAAACAAAGCAGAGTAGTTAGTGAGAAAATAAATTCTGGAAGTGGAACACTGTGAGGTGTTTATAGTTTAGAGGTCTAGATGAATTCTAAGGAGTGGTCCACCTATAAACATCTTTTTATAAAGATACTCCAGTGACAATAAATATAAATTTGCCACAAACATCCGTGGACATAAAACATAATCTGAGCCTGTTCAGGAATATTTATTTGTCACACAAGACAAGTAACGGCTTAGGGTGCTAACATGGCTCTTACAATTTTCATTCTATAAATTCTTACACATAAAACTTCATAAAGTTTATTCTTTTGTAACAATAGAATAAAAAGTTTTTATTAGCTAATATGTTTCCCAACTTCTATCCAGACAAAACTAAGATGGAAGTCATATTTTAAGTTTCTAGTCCCTACAGATTCATCATTTGAATCTGTGAATGTCAGTAAATTTATGGTTTTAGACATGTCATGCTGTTTGTCTTCAGTTGTGAATGCATCTAAAGACACTGATAAATATCTCCACGTCCAGATAGTGATCTGATGGTAAATAGGTGAATTTGATTGGACGAGAATGTCGTAAACCATAATGGTGTCAATAAAAATAGATAGTTTGCATACTTTGTATGCATTATTGCCAAGACTAATACAGTAAATTAATTTTCCTAGAAATGACTGCTAATTATTCCATTTATTCTATTGTAATGGTATTTTCTGTGACTACAGGACTGAATTTCACCAGAAATTTAAATAGAGTCACTCTTTTTACTGATAAATGTAAAACTATGCTCATTAGTTGCTGGGAGATAAGTATATAGCTAAAAGAGATCCAGTAATCTAAAGATAGCACCAAGATTTAGATACATGTTGAAGATGATTTTGTTATTAAAACATTTAGAATTATATATTTAACCAATAGTACAAAAGATCTCAAAATAGTATTTCCCAATACAAGTTATGAAGGAGGATTTTTAAAATATTAATATCAATACAAGAACCAATCTGTATTTTATGGCTTCTTGGAAAATGTCTCTGAGCAAAGGCATGGACATTAATACAGATGTTTGATTTTATAAAAAAGGTTATCCTGTACCTAATGAATTTTGAAAAAAATACAGCTAATCCCTATAATTTGCCTTGAGTTAAGAACTAGAATTCTCTTTTCCTGTCTTGTGAAATGCATGTTCATCCTTCACACTATTATTTTCAGACCTCAGTTTCTTGGCCACAACTCTGTGTGAAGCCAGCAGGGTCTTGGGAAGAAACTCATATCCACTCTGCTATGTTTCACTCTTAGAAGATGTTAAAGAGCACTACCTTGGCAGTGAGCTTGATGGTGTAGACAGAAAGCCAGTGGAATTCTCTTGACTGTGGTTTCATGTATACAGTCAGGTCAGGGGTTCCATTTGGAGAAATGCTTCCCAGGCCGGCTCGGTGGCTCACGCCTGCAGTCCCAGCACTTTGGGAGGCCAAGGCGGTAGGATCATTTAAGGCCAGGAGTTAGAGAAATGCTTTTGAAATATAAAATATACCATCTAGTTGTCTTTTTAAAAATATTTTCTCCAGCTTAAATGTATCAGAAGAATTGTGGACCTTTAAAATAAATGCATATTGTAGCAGATTGTATACATTGGAAAAATAGACTAAAATGAAGCATGTCTAAAAAAACAAAAAATCCCCAAATCTATTAAAAGTACATTTTTAGTACCTAAGAATGATTGAAATTTAAGCTGTGAGGATGATTATGTTTCTTTATCATTTGAGATATGTGTCTGTGTGCATAAATATATTTATATACATATAAGAGAGAGAAAGGGAGAGTATGTGTGTGTGTGGAGAGAAAGAGAATACATAAGGTACCGATGAAACTTCAGGCTGTGGCAGTGCTCAGCAAGCACTTCATCTGCTTCACCGAATTTCCCAGACTTTTTGCAACTGGCAGGGCCTAGTGACTAGTTACAGCCAATGACATATTAGGAATGAACTGGGTCACTTCCAGGTCGAAGGCATGAAAAGCTCCTGCAATATTCTCTAGTGTTTTCTTCCCTGGCCTCTTGATCTATTTATTGCAGCAACACGACCACACTGCCCCTATCAGTGTGCCTCCATGCTTGTCTGGGCAGAGGGGATCTCTCAGCCACCCTGTGTGTGACTTTTGTAGTGTGAGCAACAAATATACTTTTACTGTATTAAGCCACTGATATTTGGAGTTTCTTTGTTATTGCAACAAACTACTTCTGCTGACTAATGCAATAAATACCTCTAGATACTTCAATACAAAGAGGCTATTCGAATACAAAACCAAAGGCAAATTTAATGGAATTGAATGTAATAAACCATACACTTCAAGACCTAGCTAAGATGCCTAAAGACCACATTTGTAGTTCTTTTTGTCAACATTGCTGTCTTTTCACTAAATCCATTTTAACTGAGGTTTCCAAAGCCCCTTCTTCTGGAAACGGGATCATTTCTTTGTTCTCATCCTCTTGGATCTCCCTGCCACCATTGTAACCACTGACCACTGGTAGTGATTTGGACCATAATTGGTCACCAGTGACGATTATCAGTCCCTTTAGACACATTGTATCATCTGCTTCAGGAACATCGGGTCCTTCTGGTTATTTTCATAATATGTAAATACTTTGTTTTCCTTTGTCTTGCTGATTCCATCTGAAAGAAGCTGAACAAATCTCAGTCTTGGACTTTTTGCTTTCTCTAGAACGCCCTTCCCTTGGTAAGCTTGTTTTTATGTGGTCTTAGTTCCTGCTTTCGTGAGGGTAAGTCTCAAAAGTATGTTTCTTGCTATAACCTGTCACTTTGTCCTTAATACTCTTCGACTCCTTTTGTGTCATCTCCTCCTCCATAAGGAGAAGGGAGAAAACCTAGAAAACTTAAATGTACTAATTTCTATATTTGCGATGTGATAGATCATTGAAAAATTCAACATGTACATGCATGAAGTAAAAAATAAAATCTGCCCCTCTCTGTCACCACCCCAGGGATAACTGACGCTAACCATTTTGTGTACAGATGACTTTTCAAGGTTTCTTCCAATTTTGGAATTCACAAGGTTGGGGTTGGAGGCAGGAGAAACAGTAGAAAGGGAGAAGAGGAAGAAAAGGAAGTATCACTGAGGAAGGATCTCATCATTTAGCCAAGTGTTGCCCCACCAGTGCTCCAGGTCAGAAGCATGCACTTTTCAGCTGCCATTGCCTGTTGGAAGAGGATTTATTATTGGAGGAATATAAAAATGTTATAGCACCAGAAGGGGACTGTTGTCTATCTTCTCTGCTTGCAGTGGCAATAAATTAGATGGGGAAACAGTAATTTTCTGGGGCTTAACAATAGATGCACTTTGCCAGCTATGGGGTTATTAAAAGAAGAAATTAGCTTCTTCATGGGTTCACATGTATTATAAAGAAGGTAGCATATCCTGAAGGCTTCCTCTAAAAACAGCAAGAGAGATTTGAAAGCCAGCCTTAAGGGGAAAGGGCCATGGAAACCAACCCTAAGAAATGGGAGTATGTCGATTGGCGGTGGGTGACAGGAGGGTGAGAGGTGGCTACCGGCTTCTTGCCAGCATAATTCTATTTCACTTCACTCTGACAATAATCTAAATGTGTTCTGGCTAAATTCAGCTTGGAGTAGTTGCATAATCTCCCCTGCTATTTCTTTCGGTTACGATGTCCCTCTTTCCTCCGGCCTAACTCCAGAGTGGCCTTGCTTTGTACTAGAAACGATTCCTGTGCAGGATCCCAGACAAGTTTTATTTCTGCAGTGCGTGGGTGGTTCTGACTCTGTCCCTCACAGACGTGAGCCATGTGAGCATTCATTTGTAAAATTCTGTGTTTTCTTCAGGTAAAAAACAAACACATGCAGAATGTCATTACTCATCAACAGCTCTTATGTGAGACCAGGCATTTAGAACTGAGGACAGTTTCAAGGCTTTAAGGGAAAAAAGTGAATGAGAAGCTTGTGAATAGAGCCAGGTCTACAGTCTCAGAGGTGAAGGTCTGGCCCAAACTGTAGAACCAGGTACACTGTAGGACAGCAATTCTCAAACCCTGTTAGTTCAGGATCCCTTTATATTATTAAAATTTATTGAGGACACCCCCCCTAAGAGCTTTTATGTGGACAGCAGTCCCCAACCTTTTTGGCACCAGGGACCAGTTTCATGGAAGACAGTTTTTCCAAGGGAGGGGTGGTGGTGGGCGGAGCTCAGGAAGTGATTCTGGTGATGGGGAGTGGCTGTAAATATAGATGAAGCTCCTGCTCATCTTCCACTCACCTCCTGCTGTGAGCCCCTCCCATTTCCTGTTTTACTAAGTTTCACGGAACACAAGTTCACCCATGGAGGCCTGGTCCCTAACAGGCTGTGGACTGATACAAGACATTGGGGACCTCAGGATTATGGAATACTTAGAAATTGAAACAGAAAAATTTTAAATCTTTCTTGATTACTTTGAACATAATAATAAATCTATTATATGTTAACTTAAATGATATATTTTATGAAAAATAACTGTATCTTCCAAATTAAAAAAAGGTTAGCAAAGTGGCATTGGTTGTACATTTTTTGCAAATCTATTTAATGTCTATCTGTAAAGAAGAACGTTGGATTCTTACATCTGCTTCTGCATTCAATCTGTTGAAATACATAGTTTTGGCTGAAGTACAGGAATAAAATCCAGCCTCACATGGATAAGTAGTTGGAAAAGTAGAACTATTTTAATAGCTTTTTCAGATACTTGTAGATATTCTTTGATACTACAACAAAACTTGACAAGTGATAATTTCTTAAAGGTTATTTGTGGTAAGAAATCTGAAACCACATCAATGAACTTTTCATACTCTGTTCCATTAAATCTGGTGGTCATCTTGTACTTGGAATGATTTCTTTTTACCTCTTGTATGATATTGTAGCATTGTAGTCATTTGGGAAATACTGTTTCAAGGAATTTTGCAAATGTTGTGAATGGTGACGTATTTCCTTTTACAATATTAAAAAGCAAGATTGGTCAGTATCCCTACCAGCATCATCAGAAAAAGTTTTACATATTGGGAAGCTGCCCAGTGAAGGATATAAGATTTCTAAAATTTGGATTTTTAGCTTGAAAGCTAGATTTCTACCATTAGTAACAAATACTATCAGTTGTTTCCCTTGAAATGATAGGCCCATTTCATTCATTATTCGAGAAAATATCTGCCAAATATCTAAGTTCAGGTAATCCTTTTAAGTAGAAATGAAAAAAGAAAAAAATGGCCAGTTCAGCTGGCAGCACAGCCACATCAGTGCTTTTCCTTGGGACAGCCATCGTACTTGCAAAACAGCAAGGGGCTCTGTGTGTACCTCCTGTCTCATAAACTAGAACACCAAAAAGAAAAGATGTTCATTCAAAGCCAAAGTTTAATGAAGTTAATCATTTTACTGCTCCATCTTAAGCGAAACTGGCTTTTTAAAAAACTATATGTGAAGCTTCCATCATTCTTACTAAGACAAAAGCAGTTTTACCCAGCGTTGTTCTTACGCCATCAGTGCAAATATCAATAAAGTGAAAAAAAGCAAATCGTGTGTTTGTATTCTCATCAAAATATTGCTGAACTCGTGGACCCTCCCAGAAGAGTCACAGGGGCCCCCAAAGTCCCAGACTACACTTTGGAAACTTGCTGTGGTCAAAAGCCCGGTGTTTTTGGCATGTTAGCCAACACGCCCTTTAGAGATCTAGCACCAGCTGCCTGGACAAGAGGGGCTTGGTGGAGGCAGAAATCCTCTTAAACCTACCAGGCTAATGAAGGCTTCAATTTCATCTGGAGTATTGCTAGGCAAGCATATGTGAACTAACCTTTCTATCCAGTTGGCTTGAAGTCTTTCCAGTCTTTTTTTTGCTTTTGTATGTGACTTGAAATATTTAGCACCACATTTCTAGCTTGGCTTGAGTGCCCTACACAAAGTCCTGTAGACGTTCTGCACCTGTTGACCATAACTACAAGTGGTGTTTTCATTTTATGGCTTGGAGAAGAGGCAACTTGTATTCTGGTCTTAATTTGTGACCACAACACCGTTCCTCAAGCTCACTTTCCATGTGTGAGAAGAAACCTCTTTTTACATTTCTCCCATTTTCTACTATTTCTCAAGACAAATTGTTAGTCTCTAAGGACCCTCGTCGTCCTACGCACAGCATCCAATTCAAACACTGCATCCTGTCTCCTCTGTCCAGTTCTGCATTTTGTCTGTCAGGGGTTCCCCCCTGCCCTTTCTTTGCTTCTTGTCCTTCTGGAGCTGGAAACCAGGCAGTTAGAGGATGACAGGTTTTAAAAGGTAATTTTCAGATAAAGAATTGTCAATGAGTGATGTGTTTTAGTGAGGGTAGGTGGGAAAAGATAGCGAACTCTTGCTGGCCAGACCTGTCTGAAAGGTCAACTTTCTTGACTACTCAATTTATATGTTTTTCTGTATGAATTCCCTGAATGGATAATAAACTATGGGGGGGGGGAGGTTAACCAAAGGGTTCAAAGTTCTGGTTAGACAAAAGGAATAAGCTTTCAAGAACTACTGTACAGCAAGGTGACCATAGTTAATAATGATGTGTTCTATGTCTCGAAATTTCGAAAAGAATAGAATTTAAATGTTCTCACTACAAAAAAAAATGGCAACTATGTGAGGTGACAGATACATTAATTAACTTGATATAATCATTCCACAGTGTATACATATGTCAAAACATCACAGTATACCTCATAAATACGTACAACTATTATTTGTTAATTGAAAATAAAAAATTTAATTAAAAAAATAAGACAAACTGTGGCAGAAAAATGTCAGTCTTTTCTGCACTTTTAATTGACCAGGAGGGAAGGTCACTTGGTAGGTAAAAACCACATCCACCCTGCTTTCCCTTTTCAGTATTAGGAAATGATTTTTTATTTGCTTTATGCAAAGGTACCATTAAAGCTAATTTGCTTTTTCCTAAAGGAAGAAGTAAAGTAAATAAGATAAAGAAAAGAATAACTAGTAATGTTGATTGGGTTCCAGGGAATGTTATCAGCATCTTAATTGTCAAGGACTTTCAGTTTTGTGTGTGGCTGATTATTTAAACTCTGCCACTGTTTGCTCCAGGCAGTGAGGCTGACTATCCTTCCAGGTTGCTACTGTCAGCAGAGGTTGGTTTATGCTATGGCAAATGCAAGAAAGCCCTGTTTACTCTCTCCTCACACGCCTTTGTGGGCTTTGAGAGGTGACCAAAGTTCTGCTACTTAAAGAACCAACCCTCTAAGAAATTTCTAGATTAAACTATTTAGCCTGACCTGTGCTTTGTGGGAACAAGCCATTGTTTGGCATTTTATTCTTGTAGTTTTCCTGTCCTTTCATGCCCATATCAGGTTTCTCATGATTTAAAACAAATGCACAGAAACCAAACAGTCAGTGCAGAATAATTGAAGGCTTTCAGTGTTCAGCATGCACAACAATCACTGGAATAACCCCTAGTTGTTTAAAAAAAAAAAAAAAAAAGTACTGAGTCTTACATATTGACTTTTACAGCGCTACCCCATTAGTTGGAGCTGGCTCGTTTGTTGCTCTTCAGATAACATAGTCAGCACTGCCTGGCTGCAGACACTAGATTTTTGTTTAAAAACCTCTTTTTTGTTGTCTCTCCCCTCCCCCCACCCTGCAGTATAATTACAGGCTGCAGAGTGAAAAGCATTAGCACTGTTTACAAAATAGCTCATAAAATTTAAAATAATAGGGATATGTGTGTGTTTGTGTAAAACAATATAATGTGTATGGCAGGGGTAAACAGTACACAGTCCTTCTTCTTTCTTCTTTTGCTGCCCCATGTCACCTTCCAGAATTTAGGGCATGAAATTGAGTGTTGGAGCCCCTTTCCTCCTGCTATGCAATGCTAACGCTTTAATTAGTTATGCCTATTTATTCACTGCCAGTTTATTGTTGCAGTTCAAAATACAATCCTCAGGTGTATGGGGACAAGATGGCTGATGAAGCGGACTACTATCTAATTAATTTTAGGGCAGCTTAAATTCCCATTAAGAGGTTCCCTTATGACGTAAACAAGAGAACGATTTTTTTTTTTTAAATGAGCCCTTTGCTATATCTTTCAGACATCCAAGAAAAAAAGCTTTCAGCAGGTTAGTGTTCCAAAGTGAGAGGGGCATTTGTCTAACCCTTTCGAAAGTCTCCTTCTTTGCAGCTTTGCAAAGATTTTGCAGTGCTCCCCTCTGGATTTTATTTATTTTCTAATGTGGAAGGGTAGCCTCTAACCTCCAGCCTCAGAGCCAGTCAATCATTCTGCTTTGCAGGTTTAGACCTGCGGCAAAGCAAAACCCCTGTGCCATGCTCGCCGCGCTGTACCCTGTCTTGCCAGTAGCGAGGCTGCTGACTGACAGCCCAAAGGCGGCTCTGTCCACTCAAGCGCCGGCACAAGCTGAGGACAAGGGCTGGACAGGGGCACCAGCCTTGCCCACCAGAGGAAGCGCCGTTTCCCCTGGTGATTGATGGAGGACAGTTAGGAGCTTTTCAGAGGCTGGGAAAGGTTGTCCCAGTCACTCACTGTGAAGTCTTTGTCAGCAGAAAGGACTCTCCTGGGTAGTGAGTGACATCATGCAGGTGACAAATGACAGCTTTTTGTTTCCTTCTGCTTGATAGGTACTCAATATGGTATGCAGGTGAGTCAGTTCTCCCCCAACACGCCCCGTGTGCCATCCACTCCCCACGTGCAAACACTCGTTCCAAATGCACCGTGGTCTCACCGGCACTACTGGCTCTTCTAACTGATCATTAGTCCTGTTGGGGACGTTTAAAGTACCGTTAGAGGGTGAGCAGGGATGACACCCTTACCACCCTTTTATGGAGTTGATTCTGAAATTAAGCTATTATTTGAGTGATTTGTTAGCAGTTCTGAGTGTTATTTCTTACTGTTCCTCCGTTTTGGAGTACAGAAGAAAAAAATATATATTATGCACATATAGCATGCTGTTTCGAGAGACTACTTCAAATCAAAAATCTGTTTTAAAATCCTTTACTGATATTTGCTTTGTATTTTTTCCTCCCTCCTCTAGGACTCCATCTGCAGCTGTTCTGAATACCTGTGAGCAAGGAAATTGATTATTCAACCAGGATACCTAATTCGAGGTATTAGCTCTTGTCAGAAAGCTTTCACGTTTGAGCTTTGTGTTGGAAATTATATTTTGGCAGTGAACTGAAATAGGAAAAGTTGGAATAAGAATAAAGAACAAAAGTGAATTTGCAAAATAATCAAGTGCTTAAAAAACTACCCTGATGCTCGGGAAGGTTTGCTGCTTCTGACTCACGTGCAGCCCTCTCTCTGCCAGTTGACGTGCCAGTCCTGACTCATTTGTAGACGTTTTCCTGCAACTGTGTTTGGGGTTTGGATTTCATTTCAGTCTCTCCCTCTCCCTTTTTCTCTGATTGCCCAGAACTCCAGAAATCAGGAGGCTGAGACGTCGTGTCCGTTTTGCGACATTGGACCAAAGACAATGAAGTATTCTTGCACTGCGCTGGTTTTGGCTGTCCTGGGCACAGAATTGCTGGGGAGCCTCTGTTCGACTGTCAGATCCACCAGGTTCAGAGGACGGATACAGCAGGAACGAAAAAACATCCGACCCAACATCATTCTCGTGCTCACCGATGACCAAGACGTGGAGCTGGGTGAGACACTGGGTTGTTCTTTGTTGATCTCTTCTGTTCAGATGATTTACTGAGCCTCAGCTTTATCAGTAACATTTAGTGAACATAGTCAGGCTTTGCACGTAACTATAGTACCTTAATCAGCAACCTAGCTTACACCGTGAACTTGTATTGATAGATACAGCATTTGGCTTATGTGTTAGTATTACTTCTCTGGTGTTCAGCTTTTGCAACAGTCTGGGAAGGGGCCTGGGGCAGTGGGAGGATGGAGGAACAGAGTAAGCACAGAAGATGGCAAGAGTCGAGGATTTGATCATGTACCTTGGAAATTCTCAGCCAAGAAATTTTTAAGATATTTGGACAAAGTTGTTTCAGAGAGTACAAGAACGTGACTGTGATTCTGTGCAGTGTATATGAACATAGATGGGTACTAAACAAATTTTCAACTGTTATTATTATTAGAGTGAATTCCTTATTCATAGCTTGCTACAGTAATTGTTAGGTAATTGGAAAGTACAGCATTCTGCATGTCTTTCGGTAGTTAATCCACTCACTACCACCTCAGATGTGATGCTCTTTGAATTAGCTGACCCGGGTAACCTGTAGAATACTCAGGAAAGCCTGCCAACATCTAGTGGTTCCACTTACCTTCTACATCGTCTGATTGGGTCTCTCATCCTCTCACCTTTAATGGTCCAGCCCTATGCTCTTGTCCATCAGCCTAGGGCAGAGTTCTAGCATATTCTAAGACAGGTAAAAAGCTTGCCCCTCCAAGTTGTCACCAGCACCCCGAGTCTCCTTTCCTCGACCCAAATTCCTTGCTCTCAGGCATCGTTCAGCTGCACCTACCCATCACACTCCACTTGACCATGGATAGACTCTTTTAGACTCGGGGCTAGCAGGGCACTTTGGGCCTCTTCACAGAGCTCCTGCTGCTCGGGTTTGTAAGGAAAAAACCCTCCATTCCAGAATTTGATCTACATGGAAGGGGACTTTGATTTCCAGTTTGAAACCAAACTATGGAACCCCAACAAAGTTAACTCCCTGGGTTCAGCGAGAAGCAAATGCACTATAAGCCGGCAGGGGCATTATTGTTGAAGTTATTTGAGGTCTGCTCTCTTCATTAGTTTTTTTTTTGTGTTTTTTTTTTTTTTTTAATATAAGAGTATTGATTTTCAGGTGACATGCCAAAATGAAATGTCTTGCATATATGATGTTAGCATGTATGTAGCTGCTGGTTTGAATGTTTTCATTCACTTACAGAGCATGTAAAATGAGGCACACGTGTCTCATTCACCGTCCTTAACATCTCTCCCATCCATGCCTCTCACTGCAGCTGAGATCTTTAGATCCTCCTCCTCTCTCCCAGGTTTTCCCTAACCAGAGGGTCACCTGGCCCACCCATCCCCTATAGTCTTGGGTTCCTTCTTCCCATCCTTCTCTCCATTGCCAGAGTCATCTTTCAAGTATCTATCTGATCAGATCACTTTTCTACTGAAATCCCTTGTGTGGTTTCCCTTTGCCAAGAGGATTAAGCCCCTTTCCACTGCAGGCAAATGAGTTCCGAGCCATCTGGCCCCCACCTGTCTCTAAGGCTGTTTTCCTTTCCCCACTTTCACTCTGTGCTTTATAAAAGCAACTTCCACTTCCTGAAGATGTCTGGTGTCTCAGCCCCTTCACCTCTATTCCAAGCCTTTGCACAGCTCATTCCCCCCCCCCGGACGCCCACCCCTACTGCCTTTTCCACCTTCCTCCACCTGGAGAAGCCCTACCTGTTCTTCATGACCCAGTTCAGGTGCCTTCTCCTTGGGCTTAGTGTTCTTAAACCAAAACCATCCTACCCTCCAGCAGGCTCAATGCGACTTTCCTTTGCAACCCATGGACATCCCTCTGGCATGGCCCTTATTCTACTGTGCCCTCTACACCCGTCCCCTCCACTGGACTGAGATCGACCAGCGGACAGGAGTGTGTTTTGTTTATGTTGCAGTCCCCATGCTGAGACTGTGCTGGGAATACAGTGGGCACTAAAGAAACTTGAAACAACGCCCCACGGGGTCCTGAAAAAGCTAACACGATTCTCAGAACTAAATACAGGAATCCATCATGATCTACCTCTTCAATATATAGCACTATGTTTTAAATATATTAGGGCATTGTTTGATAAATCTATTGTTAACAGAATTTAAATTTTCAGCCTTGTCTGATCATTCATTCATTCAGTAAATATTTCCTGAGTGATTACTAAGTATCAGCTTCTGTGGGAGGCATATGGATATAAGGTTAAAGGGTTGTAGACCAGGCTTTATCAACCCAGGTGTACCTGCCTTTACCTGCTTCCTGGGTTTTCTACCCAGATAACACGATAAGCATTAGATTATCTAATCTTCACAGTAACTCTATGAACCAGTTACTATTATTCTACTCAATTTGCACATCAGAAAAATAGGGCTTAGAGAAGTAATGTAGCTTGTGGGTGAGCTAGTGAACTGTGAAACCCAGAACTGTATTTGGTGTAGGTCTCCATAGCTACATACTTAACCAATGTCTCTTCCTTAATCAGTCCACCTACACATGTTTAATGAGCCCTTCCTAAAACAACCTGTAAATGCATAGTAATGTTCTAACTTCTGAGATAACAGAGTTATAACATGGGCCTTATTTTCTTGTTGGCCAAACAAGGTGATTATGAACCACAGTGAACTATGGGTAAAAAGTTCAGCAAAGACCTCTATTCTCAGCTGGAAAGTCATGCTCTTGGTAGTGGCTACTGTTTGATGGAGACTTTTTGCTCCTTTCTTTGTAATGTGCTCATAATCCTTCTTAAACATCATTGCTCTAGGTTTTGGTTGTTTTTTGGGTTTTGGTAACTATCTCAACCATTTTTAAATGTACAGTTCAGTACTGTTAAATATATTCACATTGTTGTACAACCAACCTCCAGAACTCTTCATCTTACAAAATTTGAATTCTATATCTATTAAACAACAACTCCCCGTTTCTCTCTCCCCCAACCCCTGGCAACCACCCTTCTACTTTCTGTCTCTATGAATTTGACTACTCTAGGTACCTCATGTAGGAGGAAGCATACAGTATGCATTGTTTGTGCCTTCCACCTAGCATAATGTCCTCAAGGTTCTTCTATGTTATAACATGTGCCAGAATGTCCTTCCTTTTTAAAGCTAAATAATGTCCCATTGTATGTTTGTACCATTCATCCATTGTTGGAAATTTGAGTTGCTTCCTCCTTTTGCCTATTGTGAATAATGCTGCTACTAGCATAAGTGTTCAAGACCTTACATTCAACACTTTTGGATCTATACCCAGAAGTGGAATGCTGGATCATATGATAATTTTATTTTTAATTTTTGGAGGAAGAATCTTACTGTTTTTTCTCCATAGCAACTGAACCATTTTGATTCCCTCCAACTGTGCATAATTGTTACAATTTCTCCACATCCACCCAGCACTTGTTATTTTCTGTTTTGTTTTGTTTTTCAAATAGTAGCCATCCTAATGAGTGTAAGGTGGTATCTCATTGTGGGTTTGATGTGGTTGGGTTTTGTTTTGTTTTATTTTTCACTTAAATGTAATTTTGTTTGCCAAGTGCCTTAAGAAATCTTTACCTAATGCAAATTTTTTTTTTGCACCTGCAATGCTGCAGGCAATTTTGGCTACTGTGCCTCCAGAAAGATACAACAGACTTAGAAAAGACTTAGAAGAACAATTATGAAAATTTTAATAGAATACTTTTCCTACTGGTAAAGAATAAAACAATTCTACCTCTTTGTTTGGAGAGACAAAGGCAGAGAAGGGCTGCAATTAAAGTTTATGAAACCAAGCTGGAGAGGAAGACACTTTAGCATGAATAGGGCCACTCCCTCATCTCTGTCTGAGGACAAATAAAATAAGCTAGTCTGTGAAGGAAGGAAGACACCTAAGTAACTCAGTAACAAAAGTGATAGAACTTTGCATGTGGATAACACTTTATCTTTTTCCAAAGAGCATTCATTCACATTACTAGGAATGAATATGGTCATCCACTCAACTCGGGTGGCTGGGACAAAGTTCACCATCCTTGGAGGAAACAATCGGTGGAAAGATAAACGGGCTTAACATAGGGTCCCCTTATTTCTGAATTTGCTTTGTCTGCAACTTAAGAGGTTATTCAGGTTGTGCCTATACCTGTAAATGGCTGAGGTCTTTAGAGTAAGGTAATGGCTGGAAGATTTACAACTATTTTTAAGCTAAGAAAACATGCTGGGAAATGGTCAATGTGAAGTTCAGGAGAATGGTTACCCTGAGGAAGGAGTAGAGACCAAGAGTGTCAGTAGTATCCACATTTGATTTTAAAATTTAAGGCACTATAATCATGTTAAGCTTTGGTAAAGGTACAAGGTGTCTTATTTGTTCTGTTATTCCCTACACTTGAAATATTTTATAAATCAGAAGGGAGAAAATGCGGAATGCTTGAGGGAATCCCCTAACTTTCCGAGACTAGCATCAAAGAGATCAGGCCCTGAATCTTTCCTAAATGGTCCCTTGGTACTACTCCGAGAAACAAAACATTGAGCTGATTAGACCATTGATCTGACTCAATATGGTATTTCTTACATTCCCAGGAAATTGTCTGACACTCACATCCCAACTGAATGTTTCTCTTAGATCATAAGTGGAAAGAGGCCATTAATACATGGAGATACTTTGCTTCTTTAAAGCAGAGGTCAAAACACAGGGGTCTTTATTGTGCCAATAGATTAGGTACGTTGACTTTATTGCATTGCTCAGCATTTATGTAATAATTTTGGAAATATATAGGTAGAAAAACAATTTGGTCCAGTGTATCTAACATTTAAGTAATTCCCAGTTAGTGTATTAATATTGATTGTTTACAGCTAATATCTATTCTTATTAGTCAGCTTCCATGCTGGTTCAATTAAATTTTTGACTATCACCCATGTTTGCCCACAGGTGGTATTGTTTGCCCACAGGTGGTATTGTTTGACCAGCACAATTTTAAAAAT